TTACTGTAAGGAGAGATTTTCCATGAATTCTTTATTGGGCTCAAATATCATATATAGCTTTCAAATATTCGCTTTGATGTTGTTCTTAGTAATTCATGCTGAATTCGCATAAAGAAGTTTTAGCTCCGCAAAAAAAATCGTGCCATTTTTATTATCCTTTGTCTCATTTGCTTTGTGTTCGCCAGGTTATAATCATAGAAAAGCCAACAGTGTTCCTTAACAAATAAAACTAATTGCTCGTTCTCTTTTCAATCATATACATTTTACGTCAATGTTGACTCTTGAAAGAATATTTAATTTCTTAATAATGGTTTATTTGACTTCAGTCTATTTCTCGTGATTTAACTACCAGACGACATCTATTCATAGTAACGCCTTTGATACAGGTGTAACTCGTTCTAATATTGCAACTTAGTTATATTTATTTGCAAAAGTATATTTCATTAAGTTGTTAGTCAAAGAGAGGTGATAACCGAATTTTGGATATGAAAGGTTTTGCTGTCTTGTAATTTTAAAAATAGATCGGTTTTTGTTTAAGGTGAAAACTTCCAATTAGTCTGCGCTTTTCCTATTAAACAGCCGATAGCTGAACTTGCAATTTAATTCATATTGTAACACTTTGTACATACACGCTGTTTTACTGACCTGGCTAGGTCTTTGTTTCAGTACTTTTACTTTCTAAAATAGCAACAGTAACAAAAGATTTCAGGTTAAAAATAGAATTTGTATTTAGTTTTCATTTAACTCTAAGTGATTTCTGTTTATTTTTCTATTGTATTCTTTTGTCTTCAATGGTTGTAAAAATCATATATAAGTAAGTTGCGTTGAACTGATTTTTCGATTACATCGCCGACTACTCCGCCGTCCTCGCCGAGTTATTAGGGAACTTAAGATAGAGACGTTTTCGGGGCGACGGCAACTTCAACCGGACGTGACATCATCATTTGTTGGATATTGCGCATGCTCGTGCTTACCACCTTGCCGTCGTGGTCCCGTCGGCGACGTGAAACTGGTCTGTTTGGCGTTGTGGCGAAAACGTGAGTATTTAACTGTCATTTCAATCAGGTTTGTTGCGTTTAGCAACCAACATTTTGCAGATTATCGTTCGTAAATTGTCCTTGTTTTCTTTGAGGCACATTTCAAGCTCGATTTCCAAGCTATGTTCGCTAAACTTACATCTTTGAATGTTTCTATGTTTTCATTTCACAGGGTCAAGATCCAACTTGGCAAACAGCCAACCGTAAGTGAGCTTGACATGGGACAAAATTTTCCCACGAGCCAAATAAAAGTATCCAGACAAAAAATATGAACTCCGATATTTCAATTGTGTGTTTTTAGTTCGCTCTTTTCGTTAGAACATCGTATAAATGAAACGCATTGAAAATTATATAGAATAGTAGGTAATACCATGTACTAACTCGGCGTGGGAATACTGAAATAAAGTTGTTGCCGTTGTTGTTGTTGTTGCATGCAAGTATTTCCCGGGAATTATTTCAATGCCAAACTAAGAATACGGTTCCTTGGTAGCATTTTAATGTTCCTGTAATTTGCAAGGCTTCGGCAAGCCTGTGGAGATCATTTTTTTTTCGACACGAAATTCTGCCTTGAACTCAGCTGAATCCCGCATGTTTCTTAGCGTGAACGGATCGTAACTGTCCCGAGGAAAATCGGGATTTTTGGACTCATAATTTTTCCACAAAACGAGAAACTCTTCATCCGATACATGTTGTCTGCCTAGCAAATATTTATTCTCTTAATTCTTTATGTGAAGCCATATTTTCCTCTTCGGTATTCTTCTAATTAAAGGCGCCGTCCTTCTGAGTTCACTGCGATCTTAATGTTCTATTTTTGACGGGGAGCGACGGCTGCCTTAGTTCCAGGCTTTCTCTGCCAGTCCGGTCGCCGTCGCCCCGAAACGTCTCCATCTTAAGTTCCCTATTGCTGTTTGATCCGCTGAAGAATAAACGCTGTTGGAACCAAGTTTAGTCTGTTTTATCTACTGCTGTACCAGTTAGTGGTCTGATCCCGGTCCTCGAGAGAAGTGACGTCGGCTCTTCCCCGCAAGCGAGTTGCCAGTTGAGTCTAGTTTTCCCCAGTTTTATCGTGAGTCAAGCACCGAGTTTCCGTTGAGCCTTAAATTCGCTTCAAAGTGGAAAAACCTTCCGTCACATTACCTCGATCTACGAAAAGATTTTCTTTTGTTTTTAAATAAAATTAACATGGTTCACACAATTTCAGATAAACAAATTTCAAGGATTTTTCAAGGACAAATTACAGTTTTCAAGGAGTAAGATTTATTTAATAAATCGGCATTCTTTAACCCCCTTTGCCTCACTCCTATTGGCTAAAACACGTCATGGAGTCATTTACGATTTTTACTTCTTCGGCCATCGTTGATCACGTTCAGTATTTTATACTACTATCCGCAACAAGACTTAGGAGGAGCCAATTGGCTCATCCTCGGTGTAAGAACCTGTGAAACTCACGGGTAGCGCAAAAACATTTTTGTGCATGAACAATATTTTATTTCTGTTCTTTATTTTGAATTCTATTTGTACCTCAAATGCAATTGCAAGTCATACCCAGTCATTTCAAATTTACGTCGGTAAAATAATGTAATTTTACAGAAAAAAAAATCCTGGCGTAGACAAGGTTGTGAATTTCAAGGACTTTTCAAGACCTAATAAAGAAGTCAAGTACTATTCAAGGACCTAAACCGAATTCAAGGATTTTTCAAGACGACTGGTAAAATTCATGACCTTTTCAAGATTGTCCGAACCATGTAAATAAATAAATAAATATTTAGAGGTAGCTCATTCAATAGATGGTTCTTCGTCTGCCTGTTTCCTGGTCGAATTTGAATTTCGGCCATCGTTGATCACGTTCAGTATTTTATACTACTATCCGCAACAAGACTTAGGAGGAGCCAATTGGCTCATCCTCGGTGTAAGAACCTGTGAAACTCACGGGTAGCGCAAAAACATTTTTGTGCATGAACAATATTTTATTTCTGTTCTTTATTTTGAATTCTATTTGTACCTCAAATGCAATTGCAAGTCATACCCAGTCATTTCAAATTTACGTCGGTAAAATAATGTAATTTTACAGAAAAAAAAATCCTGGCGTAGACAAGGTTGTGAATTTCAAGGACTTTTCAAGACCTAATAAAGAAGTCAAGTACTATTCAAGGACCTAAACCGAATTCAAGGATTTTTCAAGACGACTGGTAAAATTCATGACCTTTTCAAGATTGTCCGAACCATGTAAATAAATAAATAAATATTTAGAGGTAGCTCATTCAATAGATGGTTCTTCGTCTGCCTGTTTCCTGGTCGAATTTGAATTTCGAAATGTTGGCTTTTGAGGAGAGTGGAATACCCGAGTACCGGAGAAAAACCTCTCGGAGCAAAGACGAAAACCAACAACAAACTATACTTACCGCAACATATATACATGTATTACAATATGTAATACATGATATAATAATAACATAATATTACAACGTTTTACATACCCTTATACATGTCCTCTAAACTCAAACACACAAGCGATCACACCGTTGTTTGGAACCCCAGTGAATATACTAGTCTTTAACCAGTACAGTGAATGCCTTCGGCATTCCCAAGGGACTAAAATCGTCACCGACTGAAATCAAACTATTATTTCAGTTCGGTTTTTGGGATGATAACAGTTTGTTAACTGGGAAAAAAGATGCAAACCGGGGGGTACTCCCCTATAAAAGTGACGGGGATGCTCGTCGGAAAATTTCGAGCACATCCTTAAAAGGTACCAGAATCTTGTTTTATTAACGTGTTCCAAATTCATTTCCAGCCCTAAGAGGTACCAATTCAACATCAACAAATTATATAACAGGCACTGCAAATTTTAATAGCAATCAAGATAACTTTCGAACACTTTCTTCTCAAGGACTTTTTGAAAGTATTGTCATAAATCAGCAGTCATTTTAGGTTTTAGCACCCCAAGCGGTACCAATCCACAAAATCAATCCCCTAAAAGGTACAACGAGCACCCCCGTCACTTTTATAGGGGAGTAGCCCTCCCCCTGGATACCGGATATGCAAAGCAGCCCAAGTGGATGAAGAGTTTTCATTCGGCTCAGCGCCATTCACATTAGATTGTGAAATAGTATCATCGAAGGATTTGAGGACTCGTGTATGTACCGAGTGATATCGTTAAAATTGCGTTTGCATCTGCTTTCTTTACATCATTTGACAGATTTCAACTAGGAATTTTTTTTTGTCTTAAATAATTATAGATTTATTTTGAAAAATCAAACCGATTTCCGTAAAACGGTGGAAACCGGTATGGGTCCGCGCTCATCATCATACATTAATATAACGAAAAACAAAGGAAATAAAATCTAAACTACGGATAAAATTGAACTACAGCTTACGTTGTACACAATGATAAGTTTGGAGAGTATTAATATAGACTTTAATAGCCAAGCCTAAATAAACCGAAGCCTTATTTACGTACTTATAAATTATTTTATTTCAAAAAATTAACTGATACTATACTTATACTATACTTAACTTTAGGAGTCAGCCACTAAACGTAAGAGGAAGGGGTTGGGTGATTTCAGAAAAAAGAACACATTAATAATTCATAGAGGAAAAAACAAAAGAAAGTAATGTTCAACTAGTGTCTTTATATCTGATTAAGACACGGCTAAACTTTACGACCAAATTTTTAGACCAAAATAACTCCAAATCTATTTATTAGTGCATGAATAAGCTGATCTTTATCAAGAGATTTTGAAGCCGTTCACAAAAACTTGCAGTCGTGTATTATCAGGTTTAAAAATGCACTTCTGCTCGTTTTCTTAACTGTAAAATTATCATGTTTAACTCTTTACTGGTATGTACCAACATGCAACAAAATTGCTTTAAATCAAACATATACCACAACTCTAAACAACTGACCACTTAGCTGACCAGAAAAGAAGTGGCTTTATTCCATTGAAATGGTCAAATCTTTTCTGTGCTCAAGCTTTAGGGAAACGTACAGAGTTCCTGGTCTAAACTTAGGTCACAAGTCCTCCAGACAGTCAGTCAATGGATAACGATATTCCATGATGTTTTTTTTGAGACGCTAAAAACTGATAAAGAAAAAACAAAACAAAAACTGCTCGCCGTCTTGAATTCATTCTTTCCCAAACGTTGCACCACAATTTTGATTAATAACAAGTCTGTTATAATCTACTTTTCTCACCATCGAGAATAAATTAGAACTGAATATTACTACAGTGTCTCCTTGAATTCTAAGAAATTTCAAAACAGCAACAACTACATCGCTGATCAGGCCTTACTCTTGGTTGAGAGAGGCTTGGTAACCTGACGATGTGTCACATCTAAGAACTTCACGTAAGGCCATAGTGGCATACGTTGATGTGGGCAATGTAAACTGCATCTGAAGTGCCCAGTACTTTCCGTCTGCAACTGTCTGTGGTTCCTGGGTACCGTTGAGTCTGTCCATATCTGTCAGAGCCAGCGGTTGTTTCACGTCATTGTAACGAAGCCAACGCCAGCTCATAAGACTTGGTTTGACGATCAGTTTTCTACAGGGAAAATGAAAAACGCTCATTAAAAAAGTAGGAATGATGAAACGAGACGAAACACCACTGACGGCGCGCAGAGAGTCATGCAAGAGTGCTTTGGGTAACGACACGTGGAAATTGGCAGTCAAATCGTCAGATAACCATCTGATCACTTAGTTTAATTGTTAAGTTTGAACAGCATAGATTTTTCTCGTTTCTATCGGACTATTTAATCTCCATCGGAAATACGATTGTTTTGGTTCACACAAAAGTGAAGGAAAGAAGACGTAAGTTACAGGGAGCGCTTGCTTTGCCCCGTTGCGTGACGTCAATGAAGCGTCCTTGATATTGCTTAAACTTTAACGATAAAGACGGCCTCGAACAATTTCTCAACAGACGGGTGGTGTTCGCCTAGTAAATGAAACCATGGCGACCAATTTACCCGAGGAATCTCTTGAATCTTTTTATCTTAAGATAAAGGTTTCTTTCTGGTGAAAGTTTAATTCGGTTTCTAGCTAGTTTGCATGTGTTCCGATCAAATACGTGTAATAGAAACATATAACGCAAATAAAGCAAAAACGGATTAAAAACCGCAATCTAAGGGAATCCAAGACAGTCTTGGATTCTGGATTCCGGATTCCAGGTAATGGATTCCAGATCTTTTTCAGTGGAACTTGGATACTGGATTCCAACTGTTATTGGGATTCTGGATTCCTACAGCTGTATTCCGGATTCCAAAGCCCAGGATTCCTGATTCCACTAGCAAAAATTTCCAGTATTGTGGAATCTGGATTCCCTCACATGGGGAGAAGGATTAAAAACTCCAACCGGCTGGAAGCAAACAGTTCGCTATTTACAAACGTCGCTGAGGATATCAATTCGGGACGACCGATACTAAGGGGCCTGAGCAAGACTTGAACGCGGGACGGCCGGAAACGAGTCCGACGAACAAACCACTCGCTCACGCTGCCTCCTTAAAACAATCCCCTACTTTCACGTAAGATGACAACCTCGTCCCCAGGAGACGGATAGGAGAGGGTCCTGGGGACGAGGTTGGTAAGATCGTCGATTTAAAGATCGCCCATCTTGGTTTTCAGTGTACCAAGGGGGAAAGGGCTTTGGGGTGTACATCGATAACGCAAAATCGCACTGTGGCTATCCATCCCGATCCTATAAAACCCTTAATCATAACTATAACAAAATTGTCAAATCTGATTGGATATCAACTGCCCTGGTTTCAGCCTTAATTAGACAGTAAATAGGACAGCACGCGTCATGCCTAAGTAATTGGACCGTACGTGCCATCACGCGCGCGTTTAAATGGCTTTTTTTTTCACTGCTAGCAATAAAAATCTCAGAATTTCTTGTGTTTTGATTTAAAAGATAGCCTATTATGTCACAAATTTCGTTAAAGTTACGATTAATTGGTAACAGAACTTCGTGTCGCCCAATTCGGTGTGTAATCACACTCGTGATTAAACAAATCGATTTTGTTAATCACTCGTATGATTACAGACCGAATTGGACTACATTCAGTCCTATTACCATTACTAATATGCTCGCCCCCTCGGTACATTTAAAACCAAGATGACCATCCGTTATGTAAGCGCTCGGTTTCGACGGTTTTACGGGAAAATAGGACACTGTTAACAGTCCAAACGCCAAGAGACGCTTTCGTTTACGGTTTCTCTAATCACGAGAACGGTGGAAATGATAAAAATAAACGGACTTCTACGCTATTCACAACGACGACTTGGTAAACGAATATCATAAATAACGTGATGCAAGAGTAAAGGTGACGCTCGTGCGTGATCTAAAATCAGTTGACCTGAAGTCACTGCATAGAGTGCAAACGCGTTCCCATGGGCCGCGATACTACCCCACTAAACGCCCTCTGGGAGAGAACGAGATTTCACTCAGACGTCAATCATGTAAAAGTTATCCAATCAAAAGTCAAGAAGTTGTCATTATCGTCATTATAAGTATATTCCATGTTTAATTTTCCTCTTTATTTCTGCTCTACCGCATTCCAGAACGATTCGTTCCCTTTAATCTGTTTCATATAATGTTAGTGTTGATCTTCTTAGCTGCACTGTTCTCAGTACGGCATTCTTCAGCTGAGACCAAGGTAAGAAAATTCTAACTCTACATTTCACAACCTGGATAAATGTAAATGTTGCCCCAACATTATAGCATGGAATTCCTTTATGGTCTACTGTACATTGATATATTTTGAGTACTGTACTCGAAGGATAGTTCTTCATAAGGCTCTTATCTACATGTAGTTAAGTTATCAACTCTCGCGAAAATTATCAAGATATTATGTAAAACAATGAAACTATCAGAGTTGCTATTAGTTGCAGATTTGATGGGTTTAGTTTTAGGTAAGAAAATTACCTTTCTTCGCCGTACTTTTCAGTATACACACCAGACCCAACAATGAGTTAGAAACATGTTACATTAAACGGTAAATATTTCTATTGTTCACGACAATTTTTTTCACAAACTCGCGAAATTCAAAACTCCCGAAAACAGCCTTTCAATTTTCGTCTATAAAGTTAGTGGGGACTGAGAAATACCCGTGTCTCTGCATGTCAAACTGCATGTTTCGTAACTTACAATCAAAGGCCAAGACCTTCACATGATCACACTGAAAAAGCCCACGCAACACGTAAAGTATATCCAATTTCCCTGACACACGCTTACACCTTAACTGAATCCCAAGCGGAGGGGGGGGGGAGGGGGTACTTCCAAAAAAATTCGGTGGGGTGTGCGGCACGCTTTCTGAAACCGAAACCCTTAACCTATTTCAGATCGAAATCTGTTATTTTCCCTACCCTATTTCAGACCTGACGCGTGATCGGAGCGCGTGACCACTCATTCCAGCAGAAACGCTAAACGCCGATGCAAACCTTGTTATAAAAATGGTCATCGGGACTGACATTGATATCGGTCAGGGAGAAAGCGATCCCTCGTACGTGATTTCCGACGGTCAGTTTTTTGTTGGTGTTCATATACGCGACAAGAACAATTACAAACATGCGTCTCCTTGCGATCCACTTGAAGGAATCAGCGGCAACACGATGGGTAGTGATCGTCGTTATGGTTCGCCTTTGCCAAAGCCTGCCGAGTCTTACTACCCGGGAAGGGTCGAGACCAAGCTAAGCCTGTCTGACCGGTGGGGAACCTGTTTTACTTCCCACGATGGCGGCTTCAGCAGTGAGATGGTTTTTCAACACAAGCTGAATCCTCAAAAAGGCCTATTTCTGGAAATATACGCTGATGACAGCAGCGAAAAAGTCGGCATCAAGTACATTGAAGTGAGCATTGTGCAGGAAAGCTGACTGAAAGGACACGCCTAATTCATCCTATCTTACTGAAATGCGATTGACATGATTCCTTAGTGAAACAAATAAATAAAAATATAAGAAAAGACATCTGTAAAAGCCGACGCAGACCTGTGAAAACTACCTAAATTCAGTTGTGAATCATTCTTTAAAAATAGTATGATTTGACATACACAATAAATATGTTTTGCATTACAATATTGTTATTAGCAAATGAATGACGATTTTGGAAAAATCCACGTTCCAACTGTGGCAAAAAATTCGGCTAAAGCAGAAACGAAAATCGCATTTAGTTGACTTTCCCTCAGAATGACTTGAATTCAAAAAGAAGGACGACTTCTTCAAGGGTTTCACCCCGGTAAGGGTTGGTGTTATCGAAGATAATCAAACATGAAGGTTGTAAGAAAAATCGAGGAAAAAGAGTTTTTGCTTGTAAAACAAGTTCTCCTCACTGCACCAATGGAAATGTATGGAGAACAATGTGGGGAAAATGCGTGCTCATATACAGCAACTATTAGACGTGGTTGAGTTTTGAAGAATTTTATGCAGACCGAGGAGGCGTTCGGGATAACACCCTCCAAAATCTGCCTAATTCTCTACATGTATCATTCAAAAGTCAAATTCAATAATTGTTTCAGTTATTATTCATTCAAAATATTTCCAACTTAACAAAGCGTGCTTACCTCGATCTACGTAAAGATCCCGTTTTCATATCATTGGTCTATTCCTCGGGAATTTCAGGATATGAAGGGATGTTTAGTCTAGCAGAAATTCTTTAATTGTGAACTGTTGAGTGGTATTTTTGTGAACGAGTGAAATCTTCTCCAGCTCTGGTAAAAACAGCTGACCTACCGCGCCTTCTGCTGCCCCTATTTCTGTCGATATCACTTCAGTATAATTGACCACTCCAGAAAACACCATAACATACCATAATACTCACTGTTTGTTGGTCACTCCAAAATTTTGCATAAGAATTGTCTTCAGTTTCTCTTGGGAGTTAAAATGGCTCTACGAGAAACTGAAGACAATGCAAATGCAAAATTTTAGAGTGACCAACAAACAGTATTATGGTATGTTATGGTGTTCGCTGCAGTGGTCAATTGGCGTGGATTGTATTAAACCCGCCAAACATCTTCCAAGTTTGGTCAACGTTAGCTGGTTATGAACAACAAGCCAAGGGATTTATGCCAATCCAAAACGGAAATATTTTGAATGAATAAGAAGGGTTTTCATCATGGTTCCAATAAGATCAACTGACGTGATGCAACTGTGAAACCGCACAGAATGTCGAAATGTCAGTCACTGTCAAAATATACCTATTCAGGACTACACTCAACCGTTCCGTAGTAAGTAGGGGATCACTTAAGGTTTCTGGCAAACTGCCTACCTACCCCTCCCTTAAGCTAACATTAACACTTACTTCTCACTTAGGGCAAAATGATGGCTTAGGGGAGGGGTAGGTGGGCAGTTTCCCAGAGAGCTAAATTGATCCGTAAGTAGACTTACCGATAAGCGCCAGACAGAGAATAATCTTTCACTTTATGCCGCATGTTATTGATGTCCAGTCCATCATCAGCCATGATTTTTTTGTAGTGATCTTTCATGTGGTTGTCAGGGTAAACAACATCGTAACCAGGAAGTGGTAGAACGACGTCATGAATGGTGTACTGCCCGGATGTTAGATGCTCTTCCGTTACTACAGTGACCGCGGTGCGACTGGGCTCGGAAATGAAGTCCACCACATCTTCCACTTGGAGCGTGTCTGCAATAACAGTGAAGTTGGATTTTTAAATAAGTTGACTTCTCTCGAACAGCGCTCAAGCTGGCTTCATTGGCAAAAGTTTCCGAGCGGGACTGAAACATGAGCGGGCTTAAGCAAAGAAAATGTTAACGTCCCAGACGCTTATAATGCATTTCTCAATGTCCTTGATAAGTGTTTGGAATGCGATATACCACATACAGTAAAAAAAAACTGACAAGGGAAGAGTAGTCAACCGTCTTAAAGGCAGGCACCGCTGGGACCTTGACGAAGAGAGGTTATCAACTCCGGTGCGCCCATTTTAAGGAAGGTCCCCTCCGTAAAATTCGCGCAATTTGTAGTAATCAGTGCACTCTGTAGTCCTTTTCACATTTTCTAACATTAAAATATCTGTCGTATCGCGATTTTATTCGCGCCCCATTCAATTGTCATGTGAAGCTAAAGTGAGTGTCCTGTGGTTGAATAACTGGTTGGGGAGAGCATCCAACGTCAAATAGAGGCATTAAAATTTATAAAATGTGTTTTGGCAAATTTCAAAAAAAGTTCAAGTTGTAGTCATGCACTGACAAGACAAGCAACAAAATTGTGATGCACTTGCAAAAATGAAGTTTGACTGTTTTATTTCTCCTTCAACTCTTTTCTTGGACATCGAGGTTGACATTACGGTCCTATTTCTTGTTTCTTGTACAAACGTTACTGGGGACCTACCGGTTAGATATTGGCCAAAACGCCATTTGCACGATGGCGTCATTTTACTACTACTACCAAAATCCATTTCGTTTTTCCTTTCATATTTAAATTTGGTAATCCCAGCGAGGTTTAAAACCAAAAAAGCCCTAATTTGCACAAGAAAGCAAAACACTGAAGTATTCTTGTATTAGTAGTTGTAGTAGTAAAATGACGTCATCGTGCAAATGGCCTACTGTTTTTCCCTGTCCCTAGTAACAGTCCCAGAAGTCTTTACGAAAGTAACTTGGCTCAGCTCTCTTTTCCTTTCTAAAGTGCCAACTTACTAAGGAGAACTGACAGAACATTAAATAGGAAAACAAATCAAAGAGAGATCGAACAAAAATGGGATCATTCACGAGATAATTTGATCAACACCTAGTACATTAAATGATACAAAGTTTCTGATACCCACCACTGTTTACTGTACATTCAGTTGACTTCTTTGATGTCACTACAAGGTCTCCTTTGACAGGTTGCAATCCATAGTCCTAATAAGTGTAAACAAATATGAGCTTTCACCAGGCGTTCAGATAGTGAAGTACAGCGTCATTTGCGCCGTTTTAACAACCTGGGCCCAGTTGCTCGAAGCATGGTTAGCGTTAACCAGCGTTTAATACCTTGACAACGTATTGGTTTTGATACTGCTTAACCAATGGTTAAAGCTAACCATGCTTTGAGCAACTCAGCCCTGAACGTCTTGAGCTGGCTAAACAAATACAGTCTAACCTCTCCTTACGGACACCTCTCTATTACAGACAGTTCGTTTGGTCCCAGAAATGCCAAAAATCATACATTCCCTACCTCTATACTACTAACACCTCTGTAAAGGGAACACTTGGTTCTGTCCTTTTGGTGTCCGTATTAAAGAGGTTTGACTGTATTGGCTTTAACAGTTTCCTGCTCAGTAGGAAGGTGGATATTCCATATTTGCTCCTACAACGTTTTACACAGCTGGACCAAAATCCGTGTTTTAATTTGAATTTCGACGACGCGTATCTTACTGATTTCTCTCCAGGATAGTAGAGTGACTAAATACGCGAGCGCGTTCCAAAAACACCACACGCTTTTCACCGTTCCTCGCAGGTGGCGTTTTTCAGGCGCACTGAAGCATGTCGCTAGCTCGATACTAATCCTTTCAGGGAAAAGGAACTACTCGTTGCCTAGTTTTCGACAGTTTGAATTTTTTGGATAGCATATTTTCAAATGGTGCTTGCTCTTTGCACAAATTCAAGTCCACCGCAAGTAGTTGAAAAATACAGAAAAAAAAGAGGTCTTGTTCCACGTCATCTGTGTCCGCGAACATGAAGTAAAAGCAATAATATTTTGTGTTTTGGTTTTTAACAGAGCACCGGAAATACTAGTTTCTATACACTTGTACTTGGTAGTCTCTTCAATACTTTTTATTGCATCAATATTTTCGAGTTCATCCTTTTTAAAAATATTTCAGTCATGTGGTTAAAATCTCCAAACTGGCATTAAAACAAATTCTGACTTTTATCCGGATATGCGTACAATGTATGATATCATTCAAGAACAATTATTTACGCGTACATGTCTGTACGATAAGAAAAGCGTAACATACGCGCTATATCACCTTAGGCTGTTTTTACATGTAGGTCGGCCTATTGTATTTGTGTTTTTTGAATACATATAATTAGCCTAATGTCTATCGATCAATCAGTCATTTATTTTGACACGTTACGTCGAGGAGCTAGAAAACTCGTTCAAAATACGAACGTGTAACGTGTAAAATACGAACGTCTAGAGTCTGCACTAAATGGCTATGCTTTTGCAGTAACCCCATCTTGGATTATCAGTGAAAGCATGCACGATCTTTCATTAGTAAAACTTAAAATTACCATGAAATAACAATCACTTAAAATAATAACTGACTTCACGATAAATACCTTAATGCGTTTAGAGGCCATGGAGTTCCACACATAGCTCTGATAGGCATGAACATACATGAGTCTTGTGTTCCTGGAGATACTCTGCAAAGCATTGACCAGTCCTGATGGGCCATGTCTAACCAAACCCTGTAAGAGATCAGTCTCTATACACTTCCCCCTGGGGATCTTTTTCAATGTTTCTTTGGCATTCTTCGTGTCCTTCCAATGCTGACGAGCTGTTCTTAAGTCATCTGGTTCCCCATCTCGAGGATTAAGAAGGAGATCAATCGCTTCTGACCATTTGCTTAGAAGCAATGCAAGACCTGGAAGGGTTGCATTAAAAACATGTATGGTTACATTGGCGGATTCAGGGGAGGGGCCCGGGGGCCTGCCCCCCCACCCTTAATTTGGACCAAACTGCTCCCCCCTTATCTCAAGGTCTGGTTCCGGCACTGGGTTAGAAAGTGAAGTAAGCTCCTGCCTCAAAACAGGAGAACTACTGACAGAAATGTGATGGTGAATTTTAAGCTTGGTGAGTAGATGAGGAAGATGTTATTCAGTCAATGAACAAGGCGGCTTGGAAGAAAACATCCGAGTACGCCCACCTAGAGTCGAACCTGCAAGTAGGGCCGTCTGGTTACTAGTGCCGATGCTCTACCACTGAGCCATGGAAGACTGGTGGGAGCTGAGGCCACTAAACTAGGTTCATGTGACAAACATCCTGCATACAGCTAGGATTAGAATATCAGTGATTTTGTTACAAATAGTTATGGTGAGTCCTGGGACTCATCTTGTGAAAAATCATGAGTCCCAGTTTAAAAAAAAGAGTCTGAAATCAAAATGCTTGGACCTTTATGTAACCAGACAGTTAGTCTGAAGACAGACTCCAAAACTCTGTATTACAGTACACTGAAATTAACATATAGTCCCTCTATTTTAAAGCACAACAAAGGCTAAAAGAAATATGCATCATTAACCAACATTCATAATAACTGCAACAAACATTATGCCAACAAGCCGACCAGATATTTCTACAAAATAATTAATATACATTTTCAGATCAATCCATCAATCTTTGCATCCTACAGGATGTATGCCATGAATTGTTTTGGGCCTTTGGGGATTTTAATACGTCAATGGTAAAGGACGTACAGGTAACAAAATCATTGGAATATCGCTATGACTGTGCTCTTAGTCAGTGGCACAGGCTACTTGAAAGAAAAAAATCCAGATACTTCCTATGACCCTCTTGTTTAGTAGCCCACATGCTGTACCAAAAAGCAACAGGGGACTTGTAAGAGCTACTTGTAAGGTCACTAAACTAGGTTCATGTAACAAACATCCTGCTTATGCTCAATGATGGGAAAGTGATGGCATCCCGACTAGTAACCAGAAGGTCACAGGTTCGATTCCTAATGGAAGTACTCTGTCACTATTTCTACCAAACCACCTGTGGCATGTGTTACTGACTTAATAACATCTTTCTCAGGAGCACTGTTGTGCCACAGTCACTTGGGATCAGATTCAATGCAATATGGCATGAGGGCACAAACACAACCCATTTTGAGGGGATTATTTTATTAGTATTAACTTGTTCTATCATGGTCAATTTATTGTCTCAAGATCATGTGACAGTGTGCAAGTGCATAGGGCAAAGTATTGCTGGTTTGCAAATGAGATCATGGCAGCCATGTTAGTGGTCATGAACAAATTAACTGCATTAATTTTTCATGTAAATTATTTGTAAAAAATAATTTCATTGACCACCAAAATGACTGTCCAGTTGCCATGTGGCTACAAGGTTACAAACAAGGTGACAAACCAACTGAAGAATAAGAAAATATACTCATGCTTCTTCCCCAAACAATTAAGGCTTTTTAGCCTTCTTTCTCACCCAGGGTGGGGGAAGGGGTGGGGGGGTTAATGACATGATAATGGGGGTTAGGGTACAAGGTGGTTGTTGTCTCAAATAGAATTTGTATACATTACAGACAGTATCTCACATATAGGTATCAATGAGGTTATTCCTTGTGGCTGTGTGAAAGGAAATTTTAAAAAAAGCAGAAGAAAAAAACGACAACATAGTAGTTACCTATTTTATGTGTTGGAACTGATGTGGTTCCAAACCGCTGCAGACCAAAGTAGTTGATGAAACCATTGACCTTTAATGACTCCAAACTCTCCTCAATTGTACTATGATCTCCAGCAACATTGCGAAGTGTTACAATAAACTGATTTCCTGACAGAGAACCAAGTTTTAGAGGCTCTTTACAATATCTAAAGTTCCCAACACACAAATTCCTTAGGGTGCTGTTAAGATTCTGTAACTGTTCAGCCCTGACCCTGTAGACAGAGACCCACTGAGTGGTGATAGCCCTACGATCTTTTGTTCCAGCATAACCAAACATGCCTGATTTGAGCTTCAGGAGTTTGCTCAACAGGTTGATAGCATCCATAGTGTCTTTGTTTTCCTTATAAAGGACAAACCAACAATAATTCTCAAGCTCTGATGGCCACCTTGTGCCTCTTCGATTGCCAGTAGAGTCTTGTTTATGGAAAACTCTAACCGCTTTTTGGCTACCAACATCAACTGTGTCACTGTCTAGAATAGACAAAAGAATTCTTATGATAAGTGTTGATTCTAAAACTGTAACTCAAGGAAATATTATTGTTGCTTGCTGTGACTTACATTTTTCCAGCCTATAATAGGCTGGAAAAATGTATACATGTATGTTAAATATAAAGATGAATGCCTCAATAAAATAAAGTGAACTACAGGAATTCTTTAATGTTAAGACCAAATCAAAGTACATTATAATTATTGTATACCAGCAGGTGCTTTCAATAAAAAGTGAAGTAGCCAGCAGGTTTGAATAGAGTAACTGGCTGTATCAACAATGGGCCATTAGTCCCGTTTTTCTAAGGGGAGGGGGGTGTCTGGGGAGTGACGTGGTTCCCCAGAAAATTTTGAAATTTCAAAGCCCTAAAATGCGATTTTCAGCTTTCTGGGGGCTCAATTGAGGACAAAAGACCTTGTTTTTCATTCAAGAAAATGTAGCTTTCATAGTTCAACTTTCGATTTATCAGTCACAATCAATTCCTACAAGCAATGAACAAATGATGAAAATTAAATTACGTACTTTAGCACGTAAACAAATTCTGGGTAGACCTATAAAGAAACTTCTGAAAAATTGACTGAAATATAGCATTCACATGACTAAAGCATAACATAAAACCAGTGGGTCTATATGAAAAAACATCAAAATACCTCTCTATGACTACATGTAATACCCAAACAAAAATTAATTATTATTTTTCTCATCACCAGCAGCATGCAGTTTAAATATACTAACCAATAACAAACTGATTTTTGTTGGGGTATTTCACTAAAATACTATTAAAGGAACCCTGGCCTATTTCTAAACCCTCAGTTTTTTAATGCCCCATAATTTCAATCAAAACCTTCTTCCCTTTCCAAGTCACACAAAGTCCCAGATTTTTCAAACCCTCCAGTAATTTGGCCAATTTCCCTCTCCCGGAGAGGTTAAAAAAATCAGGATTCAACTGCACTAATTTTCCCTTCCATTTCCCTTCCCATTTTTTGCACATGATTATGGAAGTTACACATCTGGGCCCAGTTGTTTGAACGCCGATTAGCGCTAACCCGGGGTTAAATTTTAACCTGGGTTTCTTTTTCTTTTTATCAAAAGCACTCTCTCGGATAATTTTCTCTATTTTTTTAGCATATCCAATCATCAAATTGTAGGCAAAGAGAATTCAACTGAATTGGCTTTTTAAGCTCTCATATCTGAGTTCGAAATTTGCACTAACCCTGGATTATCTTAACCCAGCTTCGAACAACCCGGTCCTGAATATAGGAAAGGGACTTCAATCAATATTATTAGGAGGAGAAGGAAAATGAATGGGTATAGAAAGCATAATTAGCAGCGCAAGAAAAATAGTGTACAATTGAGAAAGGTCAGCTTACTGGGCTTTTCAAAAACACATGAATTCTGCATTTCAAAAGCCGCCTTCACAATTTCATTTTTTGCTGCGGTAAATCATAATTACGATCACAAGCAATGAACCTTGAAACACAGAAACACACAAAACGGATCAAAATCCACCAATCACAAATCAATTTTGAACCCATTGAAGTAAACTTCTGATTTCTAAGGGGTCCACTAGGATGATTGACGGCAGCGAGGAACACAAACATCAGCTGGCTTTTAAACTTCAGAATTCACATGTCTTTGAAAAGCGCAGTTAAGTGTAGAAAGGAAAGCTGGGGACATGTTAGCAAAAAGCAACCTTGTCTTCATGACCTCTCCTCTGCCCCTCCTTGCTCACTCTGAGAAGGGGAAAGAGATGACCCTGGGAGGGGAGCAAGAAAGATCAAAAAGGCTGTTGTGGTTCAACTTTGTTGTTAGTTTAATTTTTTTTCTTTGTTTCAACCTGATTAACATACATTACCATACTCCAAAATAAAGCAAAATAAAATTTTTACCAAGGATAAACCACAACAAAGGCCAATCCTTATTTGCCTTTACAAATCCTGAAAGCAGAGGTCCTGCCATTTTTGTACCATGTTAAGCCTGTACCTGCAGGTTACCTCACCCTTAACAACCTCACCCCCACCCGCACCCCACCCTTCTCTCCGAGGGAAAAAAAAGACAAAAAAAATCAAGGAGAAAGAAAGAAAAGAAAATGTATATATTATTGCAATATTTAATATAGATACCTAGAGCTGAGAAGTTTTCCCTGATTGCACGATGAACCAATCTCCTGTGATCTTTGTCATCATCAGGTGATAATGTCACTGACATTTTCTTTTCCTCATCATCGGCAACCTTCTTGATTTTGTCTTTATCCTCTTCGCTCAAAATATCAAGATCAAATTCTTTGCTCTTCTCATTTTGGGGAACCGACACGTCTGTCAAACGCACAAGATTCCCTTTAAGATCTCGCTCGCTCACAATAAAATCAGCGTATCTTTGCTTCAGAACACCATGGAAGCCCGGTAAACCGCCGACAAATTCTAGAATTCCAACATCCTTTTCAGATACACTCACATATTTCAAACTCCCAGGTTTTGTTTTAGCAGAAACCTGACTTGGTTTCTTCTCGTCCCCATCAAAGATTTCCTCTGTTTTGTTAAGTTTATCATTTTGCACGTGTTCACTGACGTGTTGAACAGGGCAAGTCAACCATGCACTTTTTTCGGGATTTAATTTTTCTCTGCTTTCACATTGAGCCTGCTTAGTCTTCAATTCCTCATTCACGCTTTGATTCACTGTACTAGTTGACTCCACGCATATTCTTGGACGTTTTGATTCAGGTTCAAAATTCACCCCTTGATCATCCGCCATCTTGAAAGTGCGCCCGCAATCTATCTCAGAGTCGATAATCGATAAATAGTCGATAAGTTCTCAAATTCTAAGTTCCAGTCTCCTTTCTGCTACACGCTGGCTTCACTCCCAAGGTGCCGTCTCTAGTTTCGTCTCGTTTATTTTTAAGATCATGTCCGCCTCTGAGAATTCCACAATGAAAGCAGTTCTTTATAAGCCTGGAGGTGTGGAAAACCTATATACGGGTACAGTGGCGAAGCCTTCAGCAGAGAAAACTCAAGTATTAATCCGCGTTCGCTACTCAGCGATTAACCGAGCTGACACATTGCAGCGTCAAGGTCTCTACCCCCCTTTGCCGGGGGAATCTGAAATCTTAGGATTGGAAGTCTCTGGTTTAATAGAGGAGGTGGGCGATGAATGTGTTGGAAAATGGAAGTAAGTTCTTATGTAAAGCAGCTGGGGGATTAAACAAAATCAATCATCTGAATGCTCAAAAAGCTTGTTGCTATATTTAGGCTACTCTTCAAAATACCCGCGGGAAATAAACTTGGGCGTCACAAAACTGGAACAAATTTAAGCGGCTAAAGACAATTTTTGACCAATTAATCAATATTAAGATAATACTATTTCACTAGTTCACTTGATTTCTAGCAATGGAAGACGTTGTCAAAAATAATACCATCCTAGTTAGACTGTCCAAATGAGAGGTAGATTGGACGTACTAGTGTTACCCATTGTAATCCCGGGAATGTAATGTTTGCATAATTGGTATTAGATAAATGGTTTGAATCTAGGAGTCATATCATAAATAGCGTGGCATGTGAGCGTCCGGGTGAGTGTATTCCGTGTGGAACTACACTCCCACGGTCGACAATAAACAGTCGATCACAGGTCTACAAGCACTGCACCTTGACGATCATAGTCCACCCCTTGACAAATCAAGTCTGGTGAGAGCCTAGATCTCCTGAGATCCACCTCAATCGACTCTCGATGTGGCTACGCATATCGAGGTCCTTTTTTAGTGTCTACTTGCAGTGAAATGACTACAGTGTAGTATGTATTAGTATGATCCAGTGTGAAGAAGCATTGATGCATAAATGTGCGGTGATGCAGTGAAAGCGCCGCAACAATAGAGAAAACGGGTGACTTTTGTCAAACTCTGGCTGAAATGTGATGAAGCAGATTGTTGTAGTTGAAGGGTTCAACCAGTAATCATTTTCACAAATAAAGGGAAGTAAAAGAGAAAGAAAATAAGTTGCAGATTTCAACATTGAATCGGGTCTTTTACGCTAGCGAGTAACTGTTGCAGTTTGAAAAACTGGGCATTAGTAAAATTTCGAGATCGGAGCACAGATCTTATTCCGGAGTAAGGATTAGATATAACGATGATGCAGCAGTTATATAAGGGAGATGTCTTAACTACATGTTAAGTCGCTTTTTTTTCCTGAAGTTCTAGCAGAATCAGTTGCAGACATGTTGCGTTCCAAAACTTACCGCCGATATGAGTCCGCCATCGTCTTTGTTTAAAATTCTCCCACTGAGAAAAAAATGCTGCACTGTTATTTCACATCGTGACTGCAAAACGTCTTTCATTTGTCTTTTTTTAAATTAAATTTGCAAAATTTTACTTTGCCCTCATGCACCGCGCATGGCTCTGAGGAAAGAACGACACCATTTCACGTCTGTCTAGGATCACCCACCCTAATAACTGGGCTTGCAAGGGCCATCCCGTGTTCTTTTTCAGTTCATTATTACTTCTTTCAATGTGTTGATTTCATTTTCACACTCCAGTGATAAATATAATTATGAGCAAAACTCCTTTTATTTTATTTTCGCCATTGTCTAATTTACCGGAGAAGCAAGACAAGGCCAATATGCCTTAATTGGCTTCTTGGCTCGCTGATCACAAAACGAGCTGTAGCAGCTGTAAAGCAAACGTAACCACACCGGTGATGGCTACGAGCGCATGGCAAAAAAATCACTGGGCTCATAATTCCTGGTCTGCCTTAACCTGCGATAGGGCGTCCTTTTTGCGGGGATAGCGCGAAAGTCGGCGGACGGCGGGTAAAGGGGTAAAAGAACGCCCCTTTTCACCTCGCCTAAGGACCGCCTGATCGTAGGTTGGGTCTCCAAGTATTTGCTAAAAACGGAAAGAAACCGGGGCTGGATGTGCGTGAACGGAGAAGTAAAAGGATTCCTCAGTTATCATTTCCGAGCCACCTGAAGCGAAGTATTTGCTCTAAAACGGCCTCACACTTCAGTTCTCGTATATCTCTCTGTAATCGCTTCTATCGTCTAAACTCGCAGTCGTCCGCTGCCATCATTTAAGGAGCTTTAGCAACTTTTTTTACGACGGCGACGGCACCGACAACGTCAAAAAGCAATAGGTTTATTGAGTAAAACAACAAGTTTGAACGTGCATCAATCTTTTTGGTATATTTCTGGCTGTCACTGCACGACTACGACGTGAAAATGCCTAATTTGACGTTTCATGGAGTACACGTAAACAAGCGACGAAGAATTTGTCTTTCACTTTCCAAACTTAAAGGAGGTCCCAAATAAATCAGCTCCAGGGAAATTGCCTACATTTGACATTTTCAACAAACTGGAAAAAACATGACAAAGTGAGAAAAAACTCGAATTCATTTTTAAAGTGATGTTCTCGCTGCCGTCGCCTTCGTCGATGCAAAAAACTCCCTATTGGGAGCTTACAAACACGGCGATGCAGAAAACCATGCGAGCGACTGTGAGAAAGTCTAACGGCGATGGCTACACGAGGCGTCACTTAAAAAGTGAAGTCGCGCGGCTTCAAACTTTATCGCGCTTATACCATCTCGTTCAGTATGAGTTCGTCAAATTCTGGCAAAATCTCTGGAGTTGAACTCCAAAAGACTGTATCGAAGTTCAGGAGAAGAAAAAGAGAGTCGTGTTGTGTTCACGTCCTCCACAAAACGTGAAATTAGGGAGTTTCACGTTGTAGTCCTGCGGAGACGGCAAACGGAATTATGTACAAACTAGAAAGAACGTATCTCTCCCTCGGTGTGGCGCTTAAGTTAATTAAGCCGGCTGCTGGGCGCGGTTGGAAACTTGCTCCCTTCTGGCCTCATAGCTCAGTTGGCAGGGAACTTATAATCCGGAAGTATGTTGTTAGATTACCGCTCCTAAAATTGAAAAAAACGAGGGATGCTCTATTGCCCGCTTAAATAGCATGACCCCGCGACTAGTTATATAGTCTTTTAACATAGCCCTTCTTTCCTTAGCTTCACAAAGTAATTTTAGGCACTGTTACGTTCTTTTTTGTAGGAAAGGTGACCAAGTTATGGCCTTATTAGGAGGTAAGGAATGCTAACAGTTTGAAATACACAATCATTATACGTTTCTGGAAACTGCCCACCTACCCTTCCCCTAAGTCAGCATTAACAGACGAAACTAAGCCTCTGATTAAGTCCGTGTGCGAATCAGCGCGGAAATCCTTGTTCTGGGCCCCACCTGTTTACCAGGATTTGAGTACGCGCCATGATTGGTCTGTTTAAAAAGCCATTGTTGATTAGCCAATCAGGATGAAAGAAAATTCGAAACGCGCTTCCGGTAATTAGTTGAGTCCATCGGGAGCCCAGAACAAGGAAATCGGTGCTCCCTCTAGTCTCCTTCGCAGCCGTTATAAGGGTCGTCACGCAAAGCTCCTCCCGACTAGTTAGTTGGGAGAAGCGTTGCGTGACGACCCTAATAACGGCTGCGAAGGAGACTATGCTGCCTCTCACTAACCAAGGTTAAATTATGTCTCCAACACAGGCTACCGTCGTTGTTGCTTTTAAGGAACTCCCTACGTATTGTGAACGGCCTCTCTAAACTACCTTCTAAATTTTTTTTTTGTTATTGTTTTTAAAGGTGGAGGTTATGCAGAGTATGTGGCTGTTGATGAAGCACTTGTAATGCCTGTCCCAGACTCTTACAAACTCTCGGATGCTGCAGCCATCCCTGAAGTTTGGTTAACAGCATATCAACTGTTGCATTTTCTTGGCAAAGTTAAAAGCGGCGAAGTAGTATTAATCCATGCCGGGGGCAGTGGCGTTGGTACTGCTCTGGTACAACTGTCAAGGTTAGCCGGAGCAAGGCCTTTTGTTACTGCAGGATCAGAGGAAAAGATTAAGATGGCTGAGTCACTAGGAGCTGAAGGAGGCTTCAACTACAAAACAGGAAATTTCTCCAGTTGGGTGGAAAATGTTACAAATGGTACTTGATGTTGTTAATTTATAATGGTAATAGGACTGAGTGGAGTCCAATTCGGTCTGTAATCATACGAGTGAATAACGAAATCAGACGACTGCATAGCGGGAGTTTGATTTGTTTAATCATGAGTATGATTTCAGACCAAATTGGACGACACGAAGTCCTGTTACCAATTAATCATAACTATAACAAAATTTGTTATATTTTAGACTTTTTTCTTATTAAAACACAAGAAATTCCTGGAGTTTTTTTTTGCTAGCAGTGAAAAAAGGCCATTTAAGCACGCGTGTGCGATGGCGCGTACTGTCCCATTACACCGTCCTATTAAAAAAGCGAAGAGTTGATAGCCAATCAGATTTTGAGAATTTTGTTATAGTTATGATTAAGGATGAACAAAAGTAAAATCGTGGGTGCCAGAGTTTTTTTTCTCACTTGCAGTGGAATACTTCGGTGTTGCTCGCAGGAGACAGGTGACTTGATCGAAACAAGGAACGCCGCTTGAAAAGCCTCTGGCATCTAGTGTATTCCTGAGATTGCAACTCTGTGAAACTGAGCCTGTATGCAGATGTCCCCTACCCCGCTTAATGGACACCTCAGTATTATGCACAGTTAGCTTTGTCTCTGAAGAAAGACAGCCCTCACATTTCCTCTAAATTCAACCCGCTCAGTACGGAGACCCCGTTAATAAGGACACTTTCTATGGCCCCCACAGTGTCCGTACTAACAAGGTGTGACCATATCATATTATTTTTCTGTCTCAAGAGCCTGTTCATGCTCCCATTTTTCCCTCACCCTGCAGAAAGAATATATTTCAACCTATCTACATTTTCTGTTTGTACAGTCACATAGCATAGATTTAATGCTTTATCAATTCACGGTACTTACCATTAATACGTGTATTCTCCCAGGTCAAGGAGCAAATGTGATCCTTGATTGTGTGGGGAGCTCATTCTGGGAACAAAATATAAAGAGTATTGCTGTTGACGGTCATTGGATCTTGTATGGATTGTTGGGTGGTAATAATGTCTCAGGTAACCTCCTTGGACCTGTCCTCAAGAAGAGAGTTTCACTTATAGGGACAACACTCAAGAGTAGACCACTTCCTGTAAGTTATTATTCTCTGAAGTATTAGGATCAGAATAAAATGGAGCTAGAGAGAAAAATCATAAAAAGAATCATCTTTTTAGTAAGATTCATGTGGTAACATATTTGTTAGCCAGGCACAGGCGTTGAAACTTAAAACCTAACAGACTGATGCATACCTCAATCCACCCACTGAACCCTTCCCGCCCACTTCCAGAAAAAAACGTTTATTGCATCAAATTGTGCTGTGTAGGAGGGTTTTACACGTTCACTATGTTACTAGTTATTTCTTTGTGTCTGCGCGTGAAAAGCCAAGGGATGAGGGAATTTACAATCTAACAACGGAAACGAGAACGTCCCTAAAAACTGAATTTGCGTTCTTTCAGTCATACTTTGTCAAAGTAGGCGAACCCTCCTGAAGTTTAATTCCAAGTGACTCTATCCAAGTTCAAACCAGTACAAACTGTAAGTGGTGGAAGTGAGCGTGTACCACCTTTCATTACCTATGGTGCCTCACTGTACTTTTTGATCATTTTGCAGTACAAAAAAGAGCTGGTAGAGGAGTTTTCAAACAGAATTGTTCCACAGTTTGCAAATGGGACACTCAAGACTATAGTGGATTCAGTTTTCACCATTGATGAAATCCAGCTAGCTCACAAAAGAATGGAGTCTAATGAAAATATCGGAAAAATTGTTTTACAAATAATGTAAGACTGTCAAATATGACCTCTAGCCAAGAAGAGTCAACTTTAATTTCTCCATTTTTTTTTTTCAATCTTTATTTCTTTTATTTATATATTTATGATTGCTTTTATTGTACATATAGCTCAAGAGAGGAATTTTGTGTTAAGTACCCAAAAAGAATAGCAAATAGTGAGAGAGACTTTGCCAGTAGCACTTTAAATGTATTTCTGGCCACTTGGGGAACTTATTATAGCAACAACGACAGTGGTGGCAACAAATTGAAGCAACATATATAGGTTTAACAAGCAAGACAACAACTCTGTACCTGCATAACATATAGTTTTCAGTTGCTTTCCAGAACAGTTAGTTTCTCTGCTGTCACTTTCCATCACATTATCTACAGAATAAACCAAAGAGGAGCATTTTGAAATTAAAGATAATAAAAAGCTTTAAAGGTCAATAGGTAATACTTTCTGGTCACATTAAACCGTAGCTCTCTTGACCTTTGATATTAAGTGCTTTAAATTTCTTCATACAATAAGACTAGAATAAGTTGCGAAATTTCATTTGAGTTTTAAAGTTTAAGTATACTTTCATAAAAGGATGCAAATCCTTCTCTTTTTTGTGCACAGTTTGCTTGCACTTGCAATGTGGCCACTATGGCTAAACCAAGAAACTGCTGTCCTGACCAAGGGCCATAAATGTAGCAACCATTTTTTCTTTATGATCCAGGATTATTTGATAAAGCTCAGAAGCTGTTGGCTTGTCACAAGCAAGTAGAATGTTATGGTACTATGGAAGAAATTTTAGTTGACTACTGTTCTTGTACCATTTATGTTTATTTATATTTTCCTTTAAATTGGTTCAGACAAAGGGAAACAAACCTTGTGTGACCATTAAACTTGATGTTCATCACTTGAAAGAGTTACAAAAGACAAGGATCTGCTAGGGTGGTTCAGTGTGCTACCCCCCCTTATAATTATAATTTCTGATACCTAAAACTGAGAAGAGTGCCCTCTTTGCACGATAAACCATTCTTCTGTGATCCTTTCATGCCACTATAATATTTCTTATGGTCTTCCCACTTGAGAAACCTACCTGTCGTTAAATGCCTGACAAGACTGACAACAAGATCCCACTCCCATACAATAAACTCTACATATCTATGTTTTAGAATGCCATGAGTACTCTCTTTACTAAAATCCAAATCTGGACTTTTTAATCCAAACAAGGATATTTTGTTTCTTTACTAAACTCCAAAAACAGATTATTGATTGAAATGATCCACAATGGAGGTGGATTCTTTTGATGACCTTTCATCATATCCAAAACCTAATACTTTGAATACATGATCCGCAGTGTTTCTTTACTGTGTATCCGAAAAGAATGAATATTGCCAGTGGTGACTCAAAACAATTTTAATACATACATCAGCTTTTTGACAAGACTGCTTATCTTTACGGCCATTTTGGAACCATAGCCATGAATGGGTGGGCTTACAGCCCCGTAAGAAAGCGAGCTCACCTCATACTCATAGTAAACAAGCTCCGTAATATAAAGAGTTAGCCCTGTTAGAAATCCATCAACTGTTTCAATTTTGACTACCTTCAGCTACAAACATCGATTTCAATCAACCACCTGAAGCGTTCCATTTATACTTGGCCACACTTTGCGCGAGCAGTGTGAAAGAGCAGGTTTATTAATGGCCATGGTGGTGAAGTCCAGTTTCGGTTGACTCCAAGCACTGTCCAAAGGATAAAGACCGAGCACCGCCATCCGCCATCTTAAAATTGCGCCCGCGATCGATTGCGATGTTTTCGTGAGAACAAAAACCTTCAAGTATCTTTGTCAATGTGTACCATGCATAGTTCCAGGCTTCTCTCGGTGGAAAGATGACTCATATTACAAAAGAAGTCGCACGTCTGTGTTTCATATCGTTCATTCTTGAAATCGTGCGTATGTCTGGGAATTCCACAATGAGAGCAGTTCTTTATATGCCTGGTGGTGTAGAAAATCTTTATATTGGTACAGTAACAAAGCCAAAAGTAGAGAAAACTAAGGTGTTAATCCGCGCTCACTACACGGCGATCAATCGAGCTGACACATTACAGCGCCGGGGGCTGTATCCTCCTCCTCCGGGGGAATCAGATATCCTGGGGTTGGAAGTTGCTGGTGTGATAGAGGAGATTGGCGAGGAATGTGCTGGAAAGTGGACGTAAGTATTTAACACAGTTAACATTTGCGTCGATATCTATGGAGGGAGCATATGGATCTGGAACCCCCCCCCCCCTTCGCCACCTCCTCCCCAGGGGGATGTCCATTTTTTTTATCCTAACCCCCCCTTTAAAGATGACTGGAAACCAAACAATCAAATTTTTGTGGGCGCCCTTTGAAAAATTTGTCTGCATTAAGGGACAAAATTTTGTCGGCATCTCTGAAAAAAAAAAATCAGCAACCCCTATTCAAAAACCCGTCATCCTTACAGGGACAGGGAAAAGGGAGTCAAGAAAGGAACTGTCTGAAGATTATTGAACATATTGGGCAAATACGGAGGGGATTATCATGTTCTAGTGAAATTATTGCCCAAATTATCACATAATTTGCCCATTGTTTGTTTTGTTGTAAGTTGTTTTAACCTGGGCACCATGAAAAGCTATGTTTGGTTTTGTTTGTTGAATGAATTATTTCTGCTCTTTTTCTTCTTTTTCCTTCTCTCTCTGTCACACAATGTTGCGTGACAGACAGAGAGGTACCGTAACTGCTACCGGTAGTTCTTGATGTGACAGGGATATAAAACAGAATGACACTGATGAAGAATAACTGGGGGAAGGCAAGGAACTACACAGCCTGTACTGAGTCCATGAGGATGTCTGAGTTATCCTTATGGGTCTGACTGCGTCAAGAAAATTAAACCTGGCTTTATTTTCTTAACTCACTGCTGGTATCTATTTGACCAGTCCAAGTGTAGGATTTATCAGATACACTACTATAAACATTTTTAAAAAGATTTTCTTTTTTTTAATTCAGTACAAAGGATTGTTATGATCACTGTTTTCTTTTCTTGTTTTTTTTTCTTTCATAGGAGAGGTGACCATGTTATGGCCTTGTTAGGTGGTGAGTACAAAAATTTTGTTATTTCTACCCACTCGAAGGATATCTGTGTTTGAAGTAAGAGTCACCAAATCTCCCAGATAAAATTGACTCTCAGGCTTTTCTAATTCTATGCCTTAGTTTGGAATTAAGCCCATTTAATTTCTTCAAAAATTTTACTTTTTTAATTGACAGCAGACTTTCGGCGGCAAATTGCATAAATTTCTTCACTGATGGAGATTATTTTTGTCATTACAATAATTATAAAAGTGAATTTTGATGGTTTGTTCTTTGCCTTATAAAATGTCCTAAGCCAATAATGTACCGGTATCATAATTTGGGCACTGGGTCAAGTGGTGTTTTATATCAGAGTATTGGGGGGGTTGATAGCCTGAATTTCAGACGATTACTGAGGGAGTAAAAACGACTCGAAGTAATTGTCTGAAATTCAGGCTAGGGGGGTGGAGTGAAGAACAAACAATAGAGTTCATCTCCGCAGGCACAAAAAAATACATGACTATGTTTTGGGCCCGACTCAGCCTCATTTTGAGCCACTAGGTGAATGTTAAAATGAGCCCTACAGTAAGTAGGGCCCTAAAGAGAGCATGGTACTCATGTAAGACATCTATTTAAGTTTACAATGTACAATGTTAGTCAGGGCTGTAGTTTAAATAGCTAGAGGCAAGACAAGGCTGTAAATTTTGATTCTTTATTGAATAAAATACATTCAGTCTTCTTGAACTTAGACTACGAGTAGTCCCCCATTTTTCCTCAGAGTTAGTAGAGCGTGCTAAATGCGAGCGCGCGTGAAAATCACCCCACGCGAGAAAAGGCGACACGCGACGGGGAGAGAGAAAAATGAGGGACTACAGACAAAGCCCAAGCTTTTGAACTAATGCGTTGCTCTCACAACGCAAAACTCTGATTGGCTCTTCCATGGAAATCTGTCAACATCTGTCAAGAACGCGCCAGCCGCTATCAACACTCGACATAATCACAATTTACAGAACAAATAACTAGAGCAGAACAAATAACAGCACAGAACAATTAACTAGAGTTGCTCTTGTAGAAGCAACTAAGCAGAGAGCCAACCTGGCAACTGAGGAGGTTCGCGTGAGGAACCGAAACCATGGTCTTGCCTGATCACGAAGTGGGAATAACAGAACAGTCGCAAGGCTGTTAAGCTAATTCAAAAGTTATCACCAAGGGAGGAACTACGTGCTCCAGCCCAAAGACTCACATTATCTTCAGAAAAACAAGCGGCAGTTAAAATTCATGAGCAGTCAAGACTGAGTCGCATCGCAGTTCTCTATAGTTAATGTAGTTTTAGTTTAAGCTGCAATCCATTCTTTGAGATTTGGATATCATGATCCGTCCTGCTAAAAACGCTAACGAGCTGGGCCCAGCGTGACAAAACATTGCAGAAAACCGTCACATTCACGGCCAAAAAGAAAATCGCTTAAAATTATTCAGATCCAGGAGGCAATCGCTGGAGAAATTAAACAACCCAAAACCCTTATTTAGCCGCATTAAAGAACTTTACTTTTCAAAAGAGGTCAAAGAAAATCCTCTTGCATCAGAGGGCAAATCATGCCGACCATAAACAATAACTGCAGAAAATTAATATGCGTGTCACGACCTCTCAGTATGAAATAAGCGGCAAAAATCACATTTGCTCAGTCAAAACGTTTTCCTCCAGAGCAGAATCTACCCGTCTGAAAAAAAAAATTCATTGGAACAAGCAGCGTTTTGGCATGAGTTAAAGTCGTGTGTTGCCTACACTATCAAGTTCTTCTCGCGAAACAGCCGTAAAGAAAATTAGTGTCTGGGTTTTCTTTTGCTTGCAATAAATATCCCCCGCAGTTTACCGATGACAAGAGCAATGACAGCTCAATAAGTTAAGGGAAGGAATCCCATTGGATACGCTTAATTGATTTGGAAGGGGATAGGAACTTCACACTCCAAAATCAGTCGGCCGTGATGGGTCAAAAGCTTGGGCTTTGTCTGTAGTCCCTCATTTTTCTCTCTCCCCGTCGCGTGTCGCCTTTTCTCGTGTGGGGTGATTTTCACGCGCGCTCGCGTTTAGCACGCTCTACTATCTCTGAGGAAAAATGGGGGACTACTCGTAGTCTATCTTGAACTAGATTGATATAAAAGAAAAAAGAAAGAAAAGTGTCCCCAGACCCTCCTAAGGGCCTTGCACCTTCGACAATCACCCCAGCTATGCCAAAAGTCTGGCTACAGCGCTTATAGTACTGCTGAAAATTGAAGGAACATGTTTTAACTACCTTCTAACTTTACTATAAATAATTGTTTTTAAAGGTGGAGGCTATGCAGAATATGTGGCTGTTGATGAAGCACTTGTAATGCCTGTCCCAGACTCTTTCAAACTCTCGGATGCTGCAGCCATCCCTGAAGTTTGGTTAACAGCATATCAACTGTTGCATTTTCTTGGCAAAGTTAAAAGTGGTGAAGTAGTATTAATCCATGCCGGGGGCAGTGGCGTTGGTACTGCTCTGGTACAACTGTCAAAGTTAGCTGGAGCAAGGCCTTTTGTTACTGCAGGATCAGAGGAAAAGATTAAAATGGCTGAGTCACTAGGAGCTGAAGGAGGCTTCAACTACAAAACAGGAAATTTCTCCAGTTGGGTGGAAAATGTTACAAATGGTACTTGATGTTCTGGCTAAAAATGATTCCTAAACTTGCTAAGAATTATGTACTATGGATGTACACATCACCTATGTTTTCCAGTGTATTACAGTTGAACCCTACTTTACAGACACCTGCTTAATACGGACACCTTGTTACTATGGGTAGTTTTCCTTGTACCTAGCCCTTATATTTTCTCTAAATTCAGCCCACTTAACACGGACGCCGCGTTAATATAAGGACAATGGCCCCCTCAGTGTCCGTATTAACAGCGTTTGACTATAGTTTGAAATTTACAAGCCAGCTTACAGGGCTAGAAGTTTTTGTTAAAATGGGTTGAAACCTTAATTTGTTGTTTGCTTGAGTGAAATTCTAAGCCTGTTCTTTTCCCCAAATGCTCAAAAGGATCTGTTGCTAATGGATACAGAGAGGTGTAGAGAAGTGACCAGCACACAAACATAACTTGCTTTGAAACTCAATCTTGATCTGATCGTTGATGTTCAAACTAAAGGTTCCTTTCAAAGTCTTAGGGGACTAAAGATACATCTTCTAACATCTCACTCTCATGGCATTATAATCAACCCAAAAAATAAGAAAATGAAAATAAGAAATAAATAAGAAAAGAAATAAATAAAGAAAAAAAATTGCTTAACTGGCGTTTCCATGCTTAAATTAAGATCTATTATTATTTTATTTTCTTCCAGGTCAAGGAGCAAATGTGATCCTTGATTGTGTGGGAAGCTCATTTTGGGAACAGAATATAAAGAGTCTTGCTGTTGATGGTCGTTGGATCTTATATGGTCTTTTGGGTGGCAGTTATGTCTCAGGTGACCTCCTCAGGGATATCCTAAGGAAAAGGGCTTCACTTATAGGAACGACACTGAGGAGTAGATCCCTTAGTGTAAGTTATCATTCTTTTGTTTCAGGATCTCTATATAGTCAATACCAAATGTAGATAGAAATTTAGTCATTTTAAAGTTGAACCTCTTTAGGATGGCCACCTTGCAGGGGCACCCAATGAGAATATAGTTCAAAAGCACTTAAACATAGCATTGTTGAATGTATTTTAGCATTTAAACGGTAGATCTATATAGGCATATTTTTATTCCCGAAATATTTTTCATCTGTTCAGATTTCCTAGGTGAATGTCTAGTGATCCAAAAATTATAGGGATCAAGACTTACCTTTTCGAAAATTTCAGCCGAGAAAAGGCTCCCAAAATTTCTAGGTGACCTTTTTAGGGTAAAAATCCTTTTAAAATGAGCAATTATACCATTTTTTAGATGTTTGAAAATCCCAGGAGAGGCAGGCAAGCAAGAAATTTTACAAAAAATGTTCTGAAAATTCTAGATCCCAAATCGTCTTCAGAACAGATATTTTCCAAAAATTGACGTTGGGTGCCCCTGACCTTGGGGACAGAAGAAAGTGGCCATTGTGAAGAAGTGGCCATTGTAGAGAGGTTTTAAACAAGAGTCAATATGTATGGATTTTTTGGTCAACGGGATGAAAAACAGGGGCCGTTTTAGAGAGGTGGCCATTGTAGAGAGGTTGGTGTTGCCGGAGGTTCGACTGTAGATCAACTACAGCCAAACCCTGCTTCATGGACACCTGCTTAATATGGACACCTCGTCATTACGGAGAGCTTGCTTTGTCTCTTGGGAAAGAAAGCCGTTACATTTTCTCTAAATTCAACCCGCTTTCTACAGACACTCCATTAATACGGACACTTTCTATGGCCCCACTCAGTGTCAGTACTAACCGGGTTAACAGTACAGAATCCCTACAGTCAATGTAGGTCACGCGTACCCGCAAGATTACATTAATGAATTGATTATTTAAAAAATGAATCCGGTAGTAGTTCCCATAACAACAAATCCACATTCCTGCATGCATAATGAGCAGTTCAACAAATATTGTACGAGAACTTCTCTATATCTTTTCATATTGAACATTTGTGAATAGCTGGTAGATATTTAATTAACTACCTCGCTTGTGAATTCACGGCTCATTACACATGCAAGAATGCAGAGATGAATCTGAAATCTACAACTACCAACAGATTCAACTTCTGAATGATAAATTCATTAATAATGGAATCTTGGGGAGTACACTTGACCTGGCTTGACTGTAAGTTAATCGTTTTCTTGTACAAATTATATTGTATGTTAAACCTAATACTAATATAAGAATCCGATACAAAACAAATTCCGGTAGTTGTAGTCAAATAAGGGGTATGAAATACAGTGAACCTCTCTAAAACTTTCACCTTGGGGACAGAAGAATGTGCCCGTTGAAGAGAGGTCTTAAACAAGAGTCAATGTATGAAATTTTTGTCCGCCGGGAAAGTGAAAGTGGCCGTTGTAGAGAGATGTTGTAGAGTTGTGCCAGGTTGTTATGGTATTTTGTTATCTCAAAACAAAAGTGATAATGGCTGGTTCACTTATCATTGGGTATTAAATTTCTTGCTACAGGCATCAACTAAAACATGGAAGAGGGCTAGGGGGTAGGAGTGTAGGGGAAGCAGTAGGTGGAAGAAAAAGGGGAAATTATGCAAAAATGCTGATTATCTTGCGATAAAAATTAGGGCTAAAGGGGGAACACCATGAATAAAGGAGTGGGAGCAGGAAATTCTAGGCACCCAAGGCGGAAGGTTTGGGCCCCCCACCCCCATCTGAAAACAGCATTGTGGTATTATTGCAGAAAGAAGACCCCCTGCAAGTACTTTTATGATGCCCTACACAAAAACGGCTTATCGTTATTCTTCCACATTTTTTTGCAGTACAAAAGAGAACTGGTACGGGAGTTTTCAGAAAGAATTGTTCCACAGTTGGCAAATGGAAGACTAAAGACTATCACGGATTCAGTTTTCACCATCGATGAAATCCAGCTGGCTCACAAAAGAATGGAGTCTAATGAAAATATCGGGAAAATAATTATACAAATTAGGCCAGATGATACAAATACTGAAGAAACCAAATCTGAACTCTAACCTTTATTTCATTTGCTTACATTTATTTTTTGCCTTTGGCTCATTACAAAATTCGCCCTATTTGCGTTCGACGTTAGGAGAACGCTTCGTAATCTTTGGGGATCCTGTGGTCGATGGGATACCTGTGCATGCCAGGCGTGAAGATTCGAGATTTTTGGTTACTTGGACGGGCGATGTTCAAAAGCTGCGCCATTTTGAATAATTATTAAGCGCGCGCACGAATTTTAAGCCCAATAGCCGGCCAAAGAAATTGCGGGCTCACCTGGTGGACATGCGCACACAACTATTTTTTACGTCATAAGCAATTGTCATATGGCAATCACGTGCATCACTGGTTCCATCAAGGTCAACTAGATGATTACACGGGAATATTTGAGTTCGGCAAAAGAATGAACTTTGGAGTTGTTTTCTAAGCGGGTTTTATCACTGAGCTGATGATTCTGCTAAACTTTTCGGTCAATGCCGTTCAAATCGAGCTGGAACTTCGTTGTTGGGAATGGGATATTTGCTTGCAACACACTGTTGTCCCGATAAACTCGCGCTAAACGGTCCTAAATCACTCACTCACGATGTAAGGTTTTAAACATATATTCTTCACTCACAGCATCCCTAGTTTTAATACAACACAACTCCTGATAATTTTTTCAACGAAAGATAAAGCGATTCGTTTTATGTTTCCTTTGATTTGGCAGATTCGATGCCTATCTCTTTCCGGTCACTTAACAATCAAATTCTATATGCGATATGAGGTTTGATTACATATGTAAACACGCGATTTACGACACCCTCCCCCCATTTGCTTCGAGAGAGCAAATGTCCAGAACTTAATCAACAGATAGAAAATCAGTCGTTGAATTTAAGAGTCTCGAACTGCAGTCTGTTGACCAAGCAGCATCATAACATAACAAATATTAGAGTTTTAAAATCAATGTGCCATCTGGCATGAAATGCTCAAAAAATATAAAAGTTCACTCGTAATGTTCATAGTTCTTGGGGTTCTTAAATTTATGCATTGTTCATTGTTCAGTTCATTGTTCGTCCTCGTTCATATCCTGGATACGAACTCTGGCTGCTGCTGCGGCATCCCTTTGCGGCCTGTAGATTGGCGCCATTGGATTCAGCGGCTCCGGTGGGTTCTGCATCGGCATGTCACAACTCAGCTCTAGAGGGTACAGATGCTGTATTGGGCGCTCCAGGCGTGACTTTCCAGTTTTCAGCTTTGCCCCACGAATCACGCCATCACGGCCGGTGATTAGGTCTTCTACGACTCCCAACTTCCACTGTGCTCGATTCTTCTCTTCTGATTTGATGATGACGACTTCTCCCTTGGATGGATAGGTCGTGTCTCCCTTGTGCTTCAGCCGGTGTCTCTCTCTCAGTCCGCGGAGGTACTCTCTTGTCCAGCGTGACCATAGTGTATCCTTGCACTTCCTCAAATATTTAGCTCTCTTCCGCAGGTCGTGTTCCTGGACGTGATGAGGTTCTAACTCTGGAAGCATGTTCGGTTGACCATAAAGGAAGGTGCTCGGGGTCAGGATGGGTAGCTGAATGTCTTCCTCTAGGTAGCTCAACGGTCGGTTGTTGAGTGTCACCTCGACGTCAAGCAGGACGTCTTGTAGCTCGTCCCAGGTGAGCGTTCCGTTTCCCACTGTCTTGTAGAAAACTCGCTTCACGAGTCCCACCAGTCTCTCAAATTGTCCACCCCACCAGGGTGCTCTGGACAAGTTGAATTGCCACTTCACGTTTATCTTGGCAAGGAAGTCGTGTAGACGTTCATCCTTCATCACCTTGTTCAGCCATTTTGCTGCTCCCACAAATGTTTTCCCGTTGTCGGAGTATATCTTCTCCGGGCGACCTTTCCTGGCGATGAGACGCTTGAGAGTTCCGATAAACTCTTCCGTCTCCAAGGTTTTGGTCGGCTCGAGGTACACGGCGCGGGTCAGGCTGCAAGCGTACAGAACGATGTACGCCTTGCCCTCTCTGTTCTTGCTTATACGATACTTAATGGGTCCCGCGTAATCCACTCCAACGACTTGAAAGGGTGAAGAACCTTCTGTCCGATCCTTTGGCAGGTCGCCTTGGGGTGGGGACGAGAACGCTTGGGCTTGAAACCGCCGACAGCCGTGGCAACTCTTCACGATTCCTTTTGTCAATCTTCTAAGGCGCGGAACCCAGTACAGCTCTCGTACCTTTGCCATGGTACTGACGACTCCCCGTGGAGCGTCCCAAGGTGTACTTGTGTTACGAGCTTCTCTGTGAAGCGCTGACTCTCGGGCAAATACACCGGATAATGCCCTTGTATTCGGCCTCGACATTCTAACACGCCGTCTTGGTTAGGTTGCAGATTCAGTTGCAACCGATCTTCTTCGTAATGCTTGTCTGCTGTGGCTCTGGTCTGGACTCTTTTCACCCAGAAGATTGTCGCTTTGTTAGTTTCTTCAGTTGTCAGCGGTCCTTCGTGTCTTTGTATCTTCTCTGAACGAGCGTTGTGAACGAACCGCATTATCCACGCACAGATTCTCATTGTCCTCCAGTAGGTAAACTTCTCAAGAAGGTTGTCTAGCTCATCTGTAGTTGCTATCGCCACAGCAAAAACATCTCTTGTTGCTTTCACTTCTGCCATTGATTCCTCTGATGCCTTAGTCACAATGTCTGGAGGCCAGATCGCTTTTTGTTCTTCAACCACTTCGGCCCGTTGCTCCAAGAGGGATGGTTTTTCACTTCTCCACCACGGCTTCCAAGGTCAGCAGGGTTCTCCAAGGTCCCTACGTGCCGCCAAGTCACGCCTGAATGTGCTTGTATTTTCTCGACTCTGTTACTCACAAACTGCTTATATGTGCCTGGGGATCTGATCCAGTGCAGGGCAACGGTGCTATCGAGCCAGCAGTACTTTTCGGTAAGGGGAAATCCGTCCAGGGCGGAGGCCACGTTTACCAAGAGATTCACTGCCATATGTCCGGACACCAACTCTAGCCGAGGGATCGTCAGTCCCCTTTTGGAGAGTCTCGCTCTCGCTGCCACGAGCCCTTGATTTGAGCCCGACTCTTGATTGACTACAGCATACACAGCCGCGGCCACGCCCTTCCCACTGGCATCACCAAATGCGTGCAACTCTATTGACTGAATGTCCTCTTGATGGGCTGCTAAAGATCTCGGAACTGTAAGCTGCTCGGGAAGTCGCTTCTCCCATCGTATCCAACTCTGCATCATATCGCCTGGTAGCTTTGAATCCCAGTTTAGCTTGGCATCACACACGTCACGGTAGAGGAGCTTACCGCCTAATGAGATAGGAGAGGCCAATCCCAGTGGGTCATAGATCCGTGCCACTTTGCTTAAGATTCCCCGCTTGCTGGGATCAGCTTTTTCTTGTGGAAAACTTACTCCGATGGTATCGTTTGCTTTGTCCCATGGCAAACCAAGCAGGGTAGCTCCTTCTCTTCTGGGGACGTTTAACTGCTCCTTTGCATACGTTTCTTCCTCAATCGAGACTGGTTCAGAAGCGGCTGGTTCAGAGGCGGCCGATTCCAACTCTCTCACATTCGAATGCCATTTATGCAACTCGAAGGTGCCCTTGGCGAATACTTCCTGAGAAGCTGATTTGATTTCCTTTGCCTTTTCACAGGTAGGGCCACCACTGATGAGGTCGTCGACGTATAAGCTGCGTTCTATCTCGCTGACAATGTCCGGGTGGTCTTGTCTGCAACTCTCCAACAGGTGCTGGATCACGCCTCCCAGGAGGAATGGCGATGATGTGAGACCGAAGAGGGCTCTTGTAAACCTCAACGTCTCCACTGTTTGACTGCTTGGGTCCTTTAACCAATGAAATCGCAGCGCATCACGGTCTGGCTCCTTGATTCGTACTTGAAGGAAAGCTTGCTTAATGTCTCCTGCGACTGCTATTGGATGAAATCGAGAACGAACTAGGACACTCCAGAGTTTGTTTTGAAGAGGTGGTCCAGGATTCAGACACTCATTTAACGAGGGTGCACCAGAGTAGGCCCGTGCTGACGCGTCATAGACCACTCGAAGCTTAGTGGTTTCTGCTGTGTCGCGTACCACTGCCTTGTGAGGAATGTAGAATTCGTGCTGCCCAGTTGCGGGTGTGCTAACTCTCTCGACTATCCCGGTCTTGATTTGGTCTTGGATTACTTGATCGTAACGTTCTATCATTCCTTGGCCACGCAGCTTCTTTACGAGGCCTGTTAATCTGCGAAGACTTCCTGCTTCGTTGGTTGGTAAAGGTGCGTGGTTCCCTTTCCATGGTAGGCTAGTTTCGTACCAACCCTCATCATCTCGTCTTAGTTGCTCTTTGAACTCTGAATACACCTCGTCTTGGTCACCAGTTGCACAATCCGCCAGTCCAAGCACGTCCAGTCTGCACAAGTTGTCGTAATCTACCGTTGATGTCTGCGTCAGGAACATGGGAGACAGATCCACTTCTTTGCCCGGTGAAATAATGGTCCATCCGAACTTAGTTTTCTCGGCAATAGGCTCGTTTGCGGCTCCAATAAGAGGTGCTGTTACAGTCTTGATCTTAGTATAGTCACACACTCCCAAGATAAGGTGCACCGGAAGGTAATCCTTTGGGTCCATATCGTCCATCTTCACTCCCTTCAAGTGGTCGTACCTTTCCAGGACTTGCTGGTAGCGAGGGTTTTCCAGGGATAAAAGCTGTGCCTTATTCACCTTAGTCACGTCCGTTTCAAGGATGAAATCGCTCTGCAGTGAACTTATTTGCACTTTGAAGATTTCCACCGGCTTAGTGACTACTCCCATCATCATTTCGATCTGTCGTACTTCTCGTTGATGAGGGCGAATCTTTATGTGATCAAGTAACGCTGCTGAAGCGTAGGAACTTCCGGCGCCGGTGTCTAGTAACGCACGACACTTAACTCCCATCACTTCCACTACGACGACTGGATAGATCACAGTTGGTCTTTGCGTTGAAGTCGCTGTCATTAACTGGTTACTGACGCTGTTGCAGATGGACGTGTGATGCC